GAAAACCCACCCACACATATCAATATTTTCATTTTGATTTCCACCACCCACTGGAGCACAAAATGGGAGTCATCAGAATCCTACATCACTGAGTGGAAGGCCTGCCTACCAGAAAAGATGGTCGGAAAAAAAGAACAAAATCACATCAAGGAAGCCCTCAGAATGTGTGGCTATCCCAAGTGGGCCTTCATTAAATCTCAAAATAGGCCCCACAGGAGTTCCTCTATAACAAATAATGAAGAGAACGATAAATGAAGGAATGTTGTCATTCCATACATTGCAGGAATATCAGAAAAGCTCAGGAGGATCTTCAACCAACATAATATACATGCAAGCTTCAAACCCAAGAATATACTAAGGCAGAAGCTTGTCCACCCTGATAAAACACCCAGACACAAACTGAGCAATGTGACGTATGAAATAAAATGCAGTGAGGCATGTGCAGACCTGTACATTGGGGAAACAAAACAACCACTCTAGAAGCACTTGGCACAACATAAGAGATCAAACACATCAGGACTAGATTCAGCAGTTCATCTGCATTTTATTTATTTATTTATTTTATTTTATTAGATTTATATACCGCCCTATTCCCGATGAACTCAGGGCGGTGAACAGCCAAGAGATAAAACACAGAGATTACAAAATTTAAAAACAGTATAAAAACCTAATTAAATAAATTTGGCCCGGAACAGATTAAAACACCCCTAAAGTTTTAGACAAATTTAAAATTTACAATTAAAAAGGGAGGTTAGGCCAGGCCAGCCTGTTGGAATAAAAAGGTCTTGAGGGCACGGCGGAAGGTGCGTAAATCCAGGATCCTCCGTATCTCCGGGGGGAGCTCATTCCAGATAGCAGGTGCCCCCACAGAGAAGGCTCTTCCCCTGGGGGCCGCCAGTCAACACTGTTTGGCCGACGGCACCGGAGGAGCCCCTCTCTATGAGAGTGTACTGGCCGGTGAGAGGCTACTGGTGGCAGCAGGTCCCGTAAGTACCCAGGTCCTAAGCCATGGAGCGCTCTAAAGGTGGTAACCAAAACCTTGAAGCACACCCAGAAGACCACCGGGAGCCAGTGCAGCTCGCGCAGGAGAGGTGTTACATGGGAACGCCACGTCGCTCCCATAACCACCCGCACGGCCGCACTCTGCACCAGTTGGAGCCTCCGGGTGCTCCTCAAGGGAAGCCCTATGTAGAAAGCATTACAGTAGTCCAGGCGGGAGGTGACAAGGGCATGAGTGACTGTGCATAAGGAGTCCCGATCCAGAAAGGGATGCAACTGGTGGATCAGGCGAACCTGATAAAAAGTCCTCCTAGCCACAGTCGTCAAATGCTCTTCTAAAGACAGCCGTGAATCCAGGAGGACACCCAAGTTGCGAGCCCTCTCCGTGGGGGCCAGCAACTCGCCCCCAATAGTCAGTGATGGCATCAGCTGACTATATCGGGACGCCAAAAACCACAGCCACTCGGTCTTGGATGAGTTGAGCCTGAGTCTGTTTCTCCCCATCCAGATCCGCACGGCCTCCAAGCACCGGGACATCACTTCAAGGGCATTTTAAAGACAAAGGCCACTCTTTTGAAGACAGCAAAGTCTACATTTTGGACAGAGAACCCTCCTAAATTAATAAACCAGTGAAATGCTCTGAACATAGTATACTTAAATTTCACTAAGGCATTTGACAAAGTAGACCACAACCTACTTCTTGGTAAGCTAGAAAAATGTGGAATAGACAACACCACCAGATGGATTTCTACCTGACTATCAAACCATACTCAATGAGTAGCCCTTATAGTACTTCATCAACATGGACAGAAGTAAGCAGTGGGGTACCACACTGGGTTGTGTAAACTGAAGTATAGAATCAAGATCATGTGAAGTATTGGTACAGCTTTATAAAACCCAATAAGACCACACCTGGAATATTGCAACCAATTTTGTTCAAACACCAGGAGACTAAAACATTTGAAGAACAGCTGCAGATTTAGGGTTTGGCTAATCTAAAGAAAAGAAGAATTAGGGGCAATATAATATCAGTAGTCCAGTATTTGAGGGGCTGCCACAAAGAAGAGGGAGTCAAATTATTCTACAAAGCACCAGAGGACAGGACAAGAAACAATGGTTGGTAACTAAGCAAGGAGAGAACGAACCTGGAATGAAGGAGAAATTTCCTAAAGTGAGGACAATTTACCAGTGGAACAGAAGTTGCCTTCTGAAATTGTGGGTGTTCCATCACCCTGGAGGTTTTTAAGAGGAGACAGGACAATCACTTGTTTGACATATTATAGGTTCTCCTGCTTGGGCAGGAGGCTGGACTAGAAGACCTCCAAGGTCCCTTCCAGCTCTATTCTATTCTATTCTATTCTATTCTATTCTATTCTATTCTATTCTATTCTATTCTATGCGGCAGCCTCTCAAATACTGGAATACTGTTGTCATGTCCCACGTAGTCCCTTTTTTTTCTAGATTAGGCTTCTTTTTTCTAAAGTCCATTTCTATAGATTGGACAAACCCAAATCCTGCAACCATTCTTCATTTGTTTTAGTCTCCAGGACTTTTGAAAGGATCTGCCTCAGCTACCTTCTAAAGAAAGTAAAACTCTTGAAACAATCCACATTTCAAAAGGAACTTTTACTGAGAGATAGTGATTGCAGAGAAGTCAGCTTTAAATGATTCACATTCTTTGGGATACCATAAGCTGCACATATAAGGGTCACTCCATCACTTTTTGTGAGTTGGCTATTGCAGAAAAGGAACATTCACATCACATTGAGACATCTCATTGAAGGATCTTGCAAAGTGCAGGTGGCTGAAACACTTCAAAAAGGGTCTGAACTTCAGTTGAAGCTCTCTGTGACTTCTACACAGAAGACCAATATCCCAACAAGGACAATGGCCAGAGCATTGCAAGAAGGTCCATTTTCTTGCCTATCAAGACACTCTGGGATACACTTTAGCTTCTCTTGTCCTTTTTCTCTCTGAAGGAGGACTTCTGCAGTCCAGGCCATATTCCTTAATCATCCTAATACACCAATGGTCTGAACTCGTTCTCTTCCCCATAACCAGCACTGGCTGGAATCAGCTTCAGAGGAAGGAGAGAAGAACATAGCCCCATGCACCCATTCCTATAACCCCAAAACCATCCCAGAGTTTTGCCATGGGAGATGGAATCCTTTCACACCAATTGACAACTCAGAAGACACACTTCACAAGATAAACTCACCAAACAAACTTTTCTGGCTCCAAGGAATTGTTAGACAGCTCGCCTGTAGAGGTTAAATTAGCCTAATACCTTTGACATCTATTTTTTAAAATCTATGGCAGAAGTTAGTTTCTTATTTCATTCCCTGCCATGGGGGGTTTAAATAAACCAGTAATTTTATCCAGACGTTGCCACCCTACTTCATTCATACTATCCAAACAAACTATGGGTCAGACTCCATCTTGGGTTCAGGTGCTCAGTTTCAGGTAGGCCAAATTCCACCTGAACCTTGACCCTCAAGTCCATCTGCTCCTTGGATTGTTATGTATGTATCTATTTTGTGCGGGAAATTCAAATGCACAGTGAATTCTGATTGGTTCTTGGTCGCCTCCGAAAAGTATATAAAGAGGGCTGTTGCCTGTGTTCCTTTGCTGAAGTCTCACCCTGAATTAAAGAGCTGTTGTTACTAACCTGTTTGTGCCTCTCATTATTCCCGCGCTACAACATTGGCGATGAAGGTGGGATAGAGGACACAAGAGGCAATTCAAAAAAAGCTTAGAGTTTCAGCCAGGGTGACTAGTGAACACGGAGACATGGCATGTCTGCCTACGTTCCGCCAAAACCCTTCGACCCGACCCGAGAGAAGTGGGGATCGTATCTGACCAGGTTCGAGTGCTCCCTGGAAGTGAGCAAAATGCAAGGGCTCTCGGCGAACAGAAAAAGGGCTCTGTTCTTAAGCCACTGCGGGCCAGACGTATTCGAGATGGCCGAATCCCTCTGCGAGCCAACCCCAGTCCAGACGGTTTCCTGGGATGTCCTTCAGGCCAACCTGAGAGCCCACTACGCTCCAGTCCTGTCTAAATTCGTTCAGCGCTACGAACTCCGGCAACAAGTTCAAAAAGAAGGAGAGCCGATCAGTGCTTATGTGGCCGCGCTTCGAAAAGCCGCAACGCATTGTGACTACAGAGACTTAGACGACGCATTGCTTGAACAACTGATTTGCGGGGTTCGAGATACCCGGTTACAAAGGCATCTTCTAGCCAAGCCAGACCTAACACTAGCCGGCGCGCTAGACAAAGCCCGAGCACACGAGGCATCAACAAAAGCTTTGGAAGCGCTGCAGCATCCCAGTTCAAGCAAGGACGGGCTGAAAACAGCCCCCATCCACAGAGAAGAGGTGCGAACCAGCACAGAGGAAGAGTCGGACGAGGACGTCTTCCATACAGAGAAGAAATTGAGCGAACTAAGCCACTGCCACGAGAACTGCCCTAGCTGTGGCGGGGATCACGAGAGACAGTCGTGTAAATACAGAGAAGCCATTTGCAGGCGTTGCGACAGGAAAGGCCACCTAGCACGAGTTTGCAGAGCTCAATTTCTGCGTAGTCGAAAGTCACGTGACTACCGCGACCAACCAGAACCGGCTCATTCAAAACAGCCAATCAAAGATGACGGCGCGAGAAAACGGTGCGAACCTCAAAAGCGGGAGACCTACAGCACGAGAATCGGCCAGGCCAGCACAACCGACGATGAGAAAGTCTACACAAAAGTAGAAATCGATGGCAAATCGTGCGAAATGGAGATCGACACTGGGTCTACGTTATTGATCATGTCCTGGTCAACACTCAAGGCACTCCTGCCCAAGCTCCAGAAGAACCAGCTGTCCCGTCAGAAAATCCGCCTACTTGACTACCAGGGAAACCGAGTTCCTGTTGAAGGCGTGGGCACGTTCCGGGTCACCTACGGTGAGTTCCAGAAAGAGCTGCCCCTGACCGTCGTTAGCAAGCCCCTACCAAGTCTACTGGGCATGAAATGGTTCCGGGCCCTCGGCATGGTCTTCACAGGCATTCACAGCATCAGCGGATCATCACTTAAAGAAACCCTGCTCCACGAATTTCGGGACGTTTTCGAAGAGACTCTAGGCAAGTACGTGGGGACCCCTATATCCTTTAATTTAGACCCCAACGGAGCGCCAATCAGACTGAAAGCAAGATGAGTTCCATTTGCTTTAAAGCCCAAAATCGATGCAGAGCTCGACAAGCTCATTAAGCAAGGGGTGCTCGTTCCCGTAGATCACGCTAAATGGGAAACCCCTATAGTCACGCCAGTCAAGTCGGATGGCTCAATTAGAATTTGCGCCGACTATAAATGTTCGTTAAACAAGGCGTTGCAGCAGAGTGCCTATCCGGTTCCGATAGTCCACCATCTACTACATTCCCTGGGGCCTGGCAAGCTATTTGCAAAACTAGACCTTGCGCAGGTGTACCAGCAACTGCCAGTAGATGACGCTACGGCAGAATCACAGACTATAGTAACTCACAGAGGTGCCTTTAAATGCACCAGGCTTCAGTTTGGGGTCAGCATCGCCCCTGGACTCTTTCAAAGCACAATGGAGCGCCTTCTACAAGACCTCCCAGGTGTCGTCCCGTATTTCGACGACATTTTGATTAGTGGCCAAGACGAGACTCAGTTAGGCCAGAGGGTTAGACAAGTCCTAACGAGGTTCAGAGAAGCGGGACTTAAACTCAAGTGAACAAAATGCAAGATAGCGGTTCCATCAGTGGAATTCTTAGGCTACAGAATTGACGGCATGGGCATTCACCCCACAGAGAGCAAAGTTAGGGCCATCCAAAGTGCGCCCACCCCCAAATCAAAATCCGAACTGCAGGCTTTCCTGGGCCTTCTCAATTTCTATACGATGTTTCTGAAACACAAAGCCACCGTTGCGGAGCCTCTGCACAGGCTCCTTGGAAAAAACGTTCCGTGGGTTTGGGGCAAGCGAGAAGCGGCCACATTCAACTTTTGTCTGAGGACAGTTTCCTCATCCAATACAATTCCGAACTGCCTCTAGTATTGGTCTGTGACGCTTCCCCCTTTGGTGTAGGCGCGGTTTTAAGCCATAGACTGCCGAACGGGTTAGAGGCGCCCATCGCCTATTACTCTCGCACTTTGTCTAGTGCTGAAAGAAACTATAGCCAGCTAGATAGGGAGGCACTAGCGGCTGTAGCTGGGGTCAAAAAGTTTCACGAGTATTTGTTTGGCCGCACTTTTGAACTTGTTACGGACCACCAGCCTCTTTTGGGACTTTTGGCTGGAGATAAACCGACCCCGGCTGCTCTTTCCCCCCGGATGACCAGATGGTCCATTTTCTTAGCCACGTACTCGTACAGACTGCTCCACCGGCCGGGCAAAACTTTAGGACATGCTGACGCCCTCAGCCGATGCCCCTTGCCCAAATTGTTGGACAACCTGACCCTGGAAGCCCCGGTCTTGCTGCTTGACATTGTTTCCCCGGGCCCCATTTCTTCAAATGAGGTGGCAAGGGTTTCTGCCAGAGACTCTGTTTTGCGCACTGTAATGGGCTGGGTAACGAGGGGTTGGCCTACCAAGGTGGACGGTGGTGACTTTCAATTGTACTTTAACAAAAAAAATGAACTGTCAATGTTGGGGGGTTGCTTGTTGTGGGGAGACAGGGTGGTCATTCCTTCGTGGTTAAGGCACAGAGTTTTGGAAATGTTGCATGAGGGACACCCTGGTATTGTTCGCATGAAAGGCCTAGCTCGTAGTTATGTTTGGTGGCCACATCTCGACCAAGATGTCACTGAGTGGGTAGGGAAGTGTAGGCCCTGCCAGGAATCCCGCCCAGATCCGCCCATAGCTCCCGTTCGTGAATGGAAAAAACCAAAAGGGCCATGGGGGAGGATTCACATTGATTTCGCTGGCCCGTTCCACGGCCAGAACTTTCTTATTATCGTAGATGCATATTCTAAGTGGCTCGAAATTGCCCTAATGCCATCTACCACTTCTGAGGCCGTAATCAAAGTACTCAGAAAACTATTCGCAACACACGGGTTGCCGGACACCCTGGTATCTGACAATGGGCCCCAATTCACGGCTACTCAATTTGAAGGCTACCTAGCCGAATTAGGCATAAGACATGCATTATCCGCTCCTTTTCATCCGGCTTCTAATGGCCTTGCAGAGAGATTTGTAAGAACGGCCAAAGAAGCTCTGTCCCGGCTTGATGCAGGGGACTGGCAGGCTAGAATAGATGAGTTCTTAGCGGTACAGCATGCCACCCCGTGCCCCACCTTGGGCCGCAGCCCAGCTGAGCTCTTAATGGGCCGAAAGCTAAGATGCATTCTCAACCGACTGCATCCCAATTACTCCCCCGATAGCTTCAAAGGGGAAGGGGGAGGACTAAAACAATTCCAAGTAGGAACACCAGTTTTTGCTAGAAGTTACACCAATGGGCCTTTATGGGTGGAAGGAACCATCGTGGAAATTACCGGCCCAAAGTCTTATACAGTCGATATAGGGCATGGTAAAATCTGGAGGAGGCGATCAATTGCGTAAACGTTTGCAAAACGAAAACTCATGTCCTAACTTTCAAGGTCTTCCTGACACAGCTACCTCAAGCCCGAGTAAGCCGGAATACTTATCTGGCAACCCTGAGTTCCAGCGCCGCCCCAGCGAGCCGACACTCCCAGCCGGAGATAGCCACACCTCCGGAGAAATCCAGGAGGTTCCATTGGCGGAGCCGGGAGAGACGGGAGGTCCCTCCGACCGGCTCGACACCTCACCAACAACTGAACTGCTCAGGTCAACCAGGATTAAGACACGCCCTGGTCACCTGCATGATTTTGTATGTAAATATGTAAATAGATAGAATAAGTGCCTTCTGGGAGTGGAGGGGTGTTATGTATGTATCTATTTTGTGAGGGAAATTCAAATGCACAGTGAATTCTGATTGGTTCTTGGTCGCCTTCGAAAAGTATATAAAGAGGGCTGTTGCCTGTGTTCCTTTGCTGAAGTCTCACCCTGAATTAAAGAGCTGTTGTTACTAACCTGTTTGTGCCTCTCGTTATTCCCGCGCTACAACATGGATCAACAACAGACTTCTGATGTATGAAGAGAAGCTATTGCTAAGTGGGTAAGATATTGGTCTTCCCTTCAATTATCAGAATAACAGTCATTCTAAATGTATCCCCCATGGATTTCAACCCAGAAAAATATTCTGAGGTAAAATAAGCTTTTACAAATATGCTTTGAGTTTCCTCCTTCTGAAAAGGCAACTCCTGGCTTTGGTGAGACTCAGCTGGTCTTGGTTTTCTCTTTGGTCACAGACCAAGGATAGGTAAGGGGAATAATATAAATTTGCCCTGGGATCATCCAGGTGGCATCGTCTCTCTCTCGTTCTATGGTGAAGAAATTTGGGTGTGATTTCAAGTGCTACCTGCACTTCAATTGCTGCACAAACCTCGATTTTTGATCTTGGAGGGAAGGTGAGAAGAAGAATGTCTGAGCTGCCTCTCCTCCTCCTGCTGCTGCTGCTCTTCGGGCTCCTGCCTACGACCTCTGCTAAGAGAATGCCAATCAAATGTGTGTTCACAGATCCTTTCCAGAATCAGGAAAAATGGGATTATTACAAATCTGGTGACCTCATTATTGGTGGGAATTTTCTCCTCGTAACTATTATTTCATCCAGTCTCCCAGACTTTCAAAAAAACCCATATCAGCTTCCTTTCAGGATTTCGTAAGTTTCTCCTGGTGGGAAAGATGTAAAGAATTCTTTGGTTTGTTTTTGGTTCCAATTCTACTTTTAGAAATATTTGTTCTAGTGATAATTACAATCTCCTACTTTTTCCTTTTCTCAATGAAGAAGCAAACTTCTCCGTCTTTCCACAAGTCTTCATCAGAAACTGAAGGTTGTTTGGTGTTCTCTGAGCTTGGTTGATTCCTGGCAAACGTTTCATCACCAAAACTAGGTAACACCCGAATAATGTGACCTAATTTGGGTAATGAAACATCAGCAAGAAAACAACCAAGCTCTGAGAGCATCAAGGACTTTCAGCTACAAATATTCTCCTTTATTGGCACCTTAGAAACTGTGCTGGCCTAGTGAAGAAGTTGATTTATAATATTAATTTGGACAGAAAATGATAGTGGAAAACTCAGATAAAAGGTCTATCCTTTTCCAGTATGGGATACTGAAAAAAAACAAAAACCGAGCTCAGTTTTGGAATCAGCAGTGCTCAGGATTGATGGCCTTCAAGAAACTGATGCTGTGACCCCAGTTGGAGTCTTGTGCCCATCTTTGCTTAGCAGAGCTGAACTAGATGCTCAAAGGGAGGCTGGAATTAATTCTGGTGCTGGAGGAAGAGTTAAGAAGGATGACATTCACTTGAGCAAAGTCTAGAAGGAGAGAACAATAGAGGGGTATATAATGGTCCATGATATGGAGGGACAGGCATTTCTCCTTTCTGATAAAGGCCTCCAAATTTAATGAAAGAACAACTTTAAAAAAAACAACCCTCATTTGTTCTTCATACTTGCTGCTTCACTCAAGATACAAAAATGGAAGGCAAGGCAAACTCCAACTCACACACACACCACCTTTACTGTAATGTTCCCCAATGTTTTCCTCCCTATAGACCCTTAACCAAGAATTACCAACACTTCATGGCTTTGGTGTTTGCAGTCAAAGAGATCAACAAGGATCTGGATCTCCTGCCCAACATCACCCTTGGCTTCCATATCCACGACAACCACCAGATTGAGGTGAAGATTTCCATAATCTGCCTCTCCCTGCTCTCCAGAAAAGGTCAAATGGTTCCAGGTTACAAATGTGGCAGGCAGGACCCTCTGCTCTTTCTCATCGGAGGTGACAACCCCAAATCCTCAAGGCAGATGGCCTCCATCTTCAGCCTCTTCAAGGTCCCACAGGTAAGGAGGCTCCTTTAGATAGAGTCATGGAGTAGACAAATACCAGAAGCACAACTGAAGCCAAAGATGGAACCAGAGGTGTCTTCTGGGAGGAGGTACATCAGGAGTCTGTGATCTAGAAAATTCATGATAAATTGAATTCATTTTTATATTTTATGTTTTGATTTATGCAGCTCTAAAGAGATAATGAAATAATTCTGAAATGCTGTATATGCCAAGAGGAATTCCTTCCTAATATACTCTTCATTAAAGTTTAGCAAACCTTCCTGTGCACTTTATTCTCTGTATCAGGTTGATAGTTTGTTCCCTTGGTATCTCAAAAACCTTGTTTTTGAAAGAAGAATCTCACTTTCTCCAGCTTGGTGTTGGCTTTGGGTTCACTCAAGGAGAAAGAGCAGTTCATCCTTCCTTCTTCCGGATTAATCCCAGTGAATTTCCTGAGTATGAGGGTTTAGTCCAGCTCCTTCTGTACTTCCAGTGGAACTGGGTTGGTCTTCTGGCCCCTGAAAATGATGATGGAGAACATTTCGTCTCATCTATCTTGCCAATGCTGAAGGAGAAGGAGATCTGCCTGGCCTTCAATGACAAGTACAAGTTTGATGTTAATGCTTTTACAGAATTGAAAATGCTTCGTCTTTTCAAAACTTTATCTAGCACTGAAGTGATTATTCTATCTGGAGACTCCCATAGTATTTCAAATGTACTGGTGGCATTGTATTGTCATGAAGAATTGACAAAGAAACCATTTTTGAAAGTTTGGATCTTAACTTCTCATTGGAAAGTTAATGTGATAGCATCTATTGGGATACTGAAAGATATCAAGCGCTTCCATGGATCTCTGCATTTTAGGGACCGCACGGCTGATGTCCCAGAATTCAGCCATTTCCTCCTGTCTTTAGACCCATTGAACCCACAAGGGGACCCCTTTCTCCCACTATGGTGGCAATGGGTCTTTGGCTGCAGCTTCCACCAGGTACCTCAGAATAAGAACGTACAGGAAAAACAATGTACAGGAAAGGAGAATTTACAAAAGGTGCCAATTTACATCTTTGAAACAAGCATGACAGGTGAAAGTTACAACATCCACAATGCCGCTTATGCTGTGGCACATGCGTTACATGCAATGGATGGATCAGGAGGGCGACCAACTAAGTTGAGGCTTGGAAACAGGATCTCAAATGTCCAATCATGGCAGGTAATCTATAGGACTCTTTATCCAATCTACACATCCTTAGAGTGGAAACTTCCCACGTGCATCTCCTGAATTACTGATTTGTAATTGTAATATGCGATTGAATTTGTATTTGCAATTGTGATGTGTTTGCTTCCATATGCATGCATTTCAGAACAGTTTTAGAGAGCAGTTGTTAAAAAAATAATATCAATAAAGTGTGAGATTTTATTGGAAAGGGGTAAAGGAGGGAAGGAGAAAAGTAAACAAAACCAGTTGTCCATAAGCTCTCTAGAGGAAAAATGTTCCTATAAGGTCCCAAATGTTCTTCAATGGTTACCTGAGTTTGAGAGGGTGACAAATCCATGCAGGAGGTGTCAGCTCTGAGCAAGATGAAAATCTGGATGCTTCAAGAAGTTGACATGTCCTAGTGGGCCCATTTGCAGAACCACCTCAGTTTCCCTCAGCATGTAGCCTGAATCCAACCTGTAAACAGTCAGTCATCATCAGCCCAATTCCTTTTAACTTCCTTGGTACATATTTCTGTGGCTTAGCATTCTGTGTGACTCTCTGCCACTTGTTTAATTTGCCATTTCTTCAACTGCTCTGCTTGTTGAGTGAAAGCAGAATCTGTCACCCTCAGCACATCAAGCAGCACTCAAAGTGGACATAATGGATGACTGGCCTGAAATCCCTCAGACTTTTCAAAGGATTTCAAACATTGGGCCTCTCTCCACAGTGAGGTGACAAACCAGAGCTGGGTTTTCCTTACACAAAGCTCCACTTGGTCAGACAAGGTTCCTGCATTCTTCTCAATTAGCTTAACAATCAGCTGGAGAAAGTCAATGGGATTATATTATTTCATCATTCCTAAAATGCATTTCTCATTTATAAGACCCTGGGCCAAAGCAAGTGTTTTAATATGTATATATTTAAAAATGTATAAATGATTGGCTCTGCAACCAAACAAGACATACACAGACTTCAACGAATAATTAGAACTGCAGAAAAAAACAGTTGCTACCAACCTGCCTTCCATTGAGGACCTGTATACTGCACGAGTCAAAAAGAGAGCTGTGAAAATACCTACAGACCCCTCACATCCTGGACATAAATTGTTTCAACTTCTACCCTCAAAACGATGCTATAGAGCACTGCACACCAGAACAACTAGACACAAGGACAGTTTTTTCCCGAATGCCATCACTCTGCTAAACAACTAATTCCAAAAACATTGTCAAACTATTTATTAAGACTGTAATACTATTATTCTTCTCATCCTTCCTATTACCTATCTCTTCCTACTTATGACTATAACCTTGCTGCTTGTATCTTTATGATTTATATTGGTTTATTTATTTATTTATCTATCTATTTATTTATTTATTTGGATTTGATTTATATGCCGCCCTTCTCCAGAGACTCAGGGCGGCTTACAATGCGTTAAGCAATAGCCTTCATACTTTTGTATATTTTATACAAAGTCAGCTTATTGCCCCCACAATCTGGGTCCTCATTTACTTAGAAAGGATGGAAGGCTGAGTCAACCTTGAGCCTGGTGAGATTTGAACTTGCAGTAATTGCAGGCAGCTGATGTTAATAACATTGCTTTAGTCTGCTGCGCTACCAGGGATCATTTATTTATTTAGTTTCCTAGTATGATTTGATTGCTTATTTAGTATCCTATGACTATCACTAAGTGTTGTATCATCTTATTCTTGATGAATGTATTTTTGATGTAGACTTGAGAGCTTATGCACTGAAGACAAATTCCTTGTGTGTCCAATCACACTTGGCCAATAAAGAATTCTATTCTATATATTCTATATTCTATTCTATTCTATAAAACAATACAATGAAATTCTAAATGTGGAATTAAAATATTTGTATGTAGGAATCATTTGGTAAAACTGGAGTTGAAGAAGCCACGGTAGACATGCCGAATGATAAAGAGAATTTGTGGTATTGGGAAATGAATGAAATATTTGGTGTTATCCTTGATTGCTGAGATCACCATGAAGGGAAATCCTCTAGCTTCTCAGATATACAACCATCTGCTAAGATGATGGCCATCACAGAATGATAGAAGCTCTTGATGTCTCATTTGTGGCTTCCAGCCAAGTATTCCAATGCCTGAAGGTTCCTTTTCTTTCAGATTCTTCCCTATTTGAGAAAAGTCCAATTCAACAATTGTGCTGGAGATGAAATTTCCTTCTCAGAAAATGGACTGGGATCTGGTGGTTATGATCTTCTGAACTGGGTTCTCCTGCCCAATCAATCTTTTGTCCCCATGAAAGTTGGGCAAATAGATCCTGGGGCTCCCCCAGGCCAGGATTTCACTATTAACACCGATGCTATCATCTGGGCCACAAAGGTGAGCTGTTAAGAAATCTTCTAAATTCAGAGAAGGATTCATTCTCTCCTGGGAATAGCCATCTCAAGCATTTCTCTTTTCCCTTTTAGAAGGTGCCCTTTGCCAGGTGTGGCATGAAGAGGTGCCAGGCAGGAGAGAGGAGAAGAGTTCCAGAGGGGAAGCAGGTTTGCTGCTACCAATGTGACCCTTGTCCAGAAGGGACCATTTCTAATCAGACAGGTAGAGCTCATCTCAAATTTATACAGTAACTTCTAAGATCAAGGAAGCCATTAAGTAGGAACAAATATCAATTCTGTTGTCATTCTTGTTGACTGACATTTTTCAAAATATTCATGGTTTCCAGCAGAACCTCTGAATTCATGGATCTAAACTGTGCTTCCCCCTTCCTCAGCCACTTTTCCTGCTCCTCAGCCATTTAATGCAAGGTAGCTTCAGGGCAGAATTCATGGATTCCCCAATAGACACTCTACTCCTTCTCTTACAGGTTCAAGGTTTAATTTTCATTATTTTGCTTCTTCTGTCACCATTATCAGTCTCCCAGGAAATTGATAGACTCATTGGAGAAAGAGAAGATGGATCTAGCTATGTCTGCCTGCCCTTCTCTGCCAAAAAAGACTGAATGAGTTAATGCAAAATATAAAGCAGAGAAACTGAGCCCAAGAGCTGAAAGGCTAATGTATCCTCTGGGTTATCAGTAGTAAAGGATGATTAGCCCTTTTTGACACACCATGAAATGAAAACTGACTCTTGATTTCAGATGCAGCTTCCTGTGATCCCTGCCCAGAAGACCAATACCCCAACTTGGAAAAGGACCACTGCATTGCCAAGAAGCTCCACTTCCTTTCCTATCAAGAGACCCTGGGATACACTTTGGCTTCTCTCACTCTTTCTCTATCTATGATCACACTGGCAGTTCTGGCAGTTTTTCATCATCATCATGATACACCAATCGTCAAGGCCAACAACAGAAATCTCACCTACCTCCTCCTCATCTCCCTCCTGCTTTGCTTCCTCTGCTCCTTCCTCTTCATTGGTCGACCTGGGAAGTTCACCTGTCTCTTTCGACAAACAGTCTTTGCCATTCTCTTTTCCCTCGCGGTTTCCTCTGTGTTGGCAAAAACTGTCATGGTGGTTCTGGCCTTCATGGCCACCAAGCCAGGGAACAGGACAAGGAAACTCTTAGGAAAACCACTGACCAACTCCATTGTCTTAGCCTGTCCCCTGGTCCAAGCAGTTCTTTGTGCCACCTGGCTGGCATCCTCCCCACCATTTCCCAACATGGACTTCCACTCTTTTGTAGGAGAGGCCATCTTGGAATGTAATGAAGCTTCAGCTTCAATGTTTTATACTGTCCTTGCCTATCTAGGGTTTCTGGCCCTCATGAGTTTCACAGTGGCCTTTCTGGCTAGGAAATTGCCTGACAGCTTTAACGAAGCCAAATTCATTACTTTTAGCATGCTGGTCTTTTGCAGTGTTTGGATCAGCTTCCTCCCCACCTACCTGAGTACCAAAGGGAAGTCCATGGTGGCCGTGGAGATCTTCTCCATCTTGGCCTCTGGGGCTGGTCTCTTGGCTTGCATCTTTTTCCCCAAATGCTACATTATCCTACTTAAACCCAATCTGAATTGTAGGGAAAATGTAATGAGGCAGAAGAATCTCTGATTTATATCAGAATTGGAAACTTTCCATTTCAATCAGAATAAATCTGGAAGGGACCTTGGAGCTCAAGCAGGAGATCCTACATCATTTCAGACAAGTTGTCAACCTGCAAAACAACTTCAGCCGAAGCTATACTTACTTCTGTTTCATTTCTTGGTTACCATTCAAGGGGGAGAGCTCAAGCAGGAAATCCTACATCATTTCAGACAAGTGACTGTCCAGCCTTTTCTTAAAACCCTACAGTGATGAAGCACCCACAACTTCTGAAGGCAAGCGGTTCCACTGGTTAATTGTGCTGGGTGTTATGAAGTTTCACCTTAAGTTCCATTTCCATCCATTGTTTCTTATCCTGCCCACTGGTGCTTTGGAAAATAAATTGACCCACTCCTAAGTTAGTAGACCAGTGAAATGCTGTGGACATAGTATACTTAGATTTCAGTGAGGCATTTGACAATGTAGACCACAACCTACTTCTTGGTAAGGTAGAAAAATGTGGAATAAACAACATCACCACCAGATGGATTTGTAGCTTGCTGACAAACCATACTCAATGAGTAGTCCTTGTGGTACTACATCAACGTGGAGAGAAATAAGCAGTGGGGTACCACAAGGCTCCATCTTAGGCCCTGTACTTTTCAAAATATTCATAAATGGTTTAGATAAGGGAATAGATGGGGAACTCATCCAATTTGCAGATGACACTAAACTGGCAGGAAAAGCCAACAGCCCTGAAGACAAGCCCAGGATCCAAAAAGATCTTGACAAACTTGAACAATGGGCCCTATTCAACAAAATGAATTTTAATGTAGAGAAAACCAAAGTTTTATAATTAGGCAGGGAAAAATATCAAAGGTATAAGTACAGATTCGGCAAGACCTGGCTCAAAAAACAGATGGACCTTGGAGTCCTAGTGGACGATCACTTGAATATGAGCCAGCAGTGTGCAGCAGCAGTCAAGAAAGCTACTACAATCCCAGGTTGTATAAACCAAGGCATAGAATCAAGATCACGTGAAGTATGAGTACCGCTTCATAAAACCCAAAAAGACCACACCTTAAATACTGCAACCAATTTTGTTCAAAGGCCTGGAGACTAAGACATATGAAGAACAGCTGCAGAATTTGGGTTTGGCTAATCTAAAGAAAAGAAGAATTAGGGGCAACGTGATAGCAGTATTCCGGTTTTTGAGGGGCTGCCACAAAGAAGAGGGAGTCAAATTATTCTACAAAACACCAGAGGACAATGGTTGGAAACTAACCAAGGAGAAAAGCAACTTGGAATTAAGTAGAAACTTTGTAAAAGTGAGCACAATTAATCAGTGGAACAGCTTGCCACCAGAAATCATGGGCACTGCATCACTGGAGGTTTTTAAGAGGACATTAGACAGTCACTTGTTTGACATAGTATGGGTTCTCCTGCTTGAGCTCTCCCCCTTGAATGACAACCAAGAAATGAAACAGAAGTAAGTATGGCTTCAGCTGAAGTTGTTTTGCAGGTTGACAACTTGTCTGAAATGATGTAGGGTCCCCTACTTGAGGTCCAAGGTCCCTTCCAGATCTATTCTATTCTATTCCATTCCATTCCATTCCATTCCATTCCATTCCATTCCATTCCATTCTATTCTATTCTATTCTATTCTATTCTATTCTATTCCATTCCATTCCATTCTATTCTATTCTATTCTATTCTGCAGCCTCTCAAATACTGGAATACTGCTATCATGTCCCACCTAGTCCTTTTTTTCTCTAGGTTAGGCTTCTTTTCTCTAAAGTCCATTTCTATAGAGTAGACAAACCCAAATCCTGCAACCATTCTTCATTTGTTTTCGTCTCCAGGTCTTTTTTTAAGGCCCTGCCTCAGCTACCTTCTCAAGAAAGTAAAACTCTTGAAACAATTCACATTTCAAAAGGAGCTTTTACTGAAAGATAGTGATTGCAGAGTAGTCAGGCGGAGTCTGAAATTCAGGGGCAAAGCATTGGGCTAAAGTTTCCCTTGTAACCCTCCCACCTTGATTCCCCATATCCATCAATGACCAATAACAGGCTGCAAAGGTGTTAGGAGAATCTATGAAGCTAGATGGTGAGAAGAGTTCACCTTTGGGGCACTGCGACCTTGGATAACTGGCCCAGACTGCTGCAGAGGGAGTTGCTGCAGATGGCATGAGCTTCCCCCCTCTCTTTTAGCTCCCAAGCAGTTACAGCAACAGCAAAGCAAAAGCACGCAAACTATGTGGCCCATGATGCTGCCCCCCTCCCTTCCAGAATGGCAGCATTCCAATAGGGACCTGACATGCTGCCCCCCTAGAAAAAGGAGATCTGCACCTGAAAAACAAGAAAAAGGGAGGGGATAAAAGAAGGTAATGGTTGCTTGGGTTTATTGTCTGTTTGTTTTCTAAGTCAGAAGAAACTTCTCTGGGAAAGGGGAAGCTTTGGAAATTAACCCTTTTGTCCCCCCAGATGGCTCGATGCTTGATCCTAAGAAGTAATCAGGTGAGCCTCTGGCTAAGGGCAGGGCAACCAATAGCATGTCCATCATGGAAGAACCTGCCATTCGAAAACCCAGAAGCATCGCTGTGGGACTTGTTGGGAAGATACTGGGCTCTAATGAGCCTGGTGAAAACTCAGCCAGACGAACTGTTGTCTGGGGTGGTCTTTGGACTGGAACTGTCCTGTAGGGACAGTGAAGAAGGAGAGGCATCTTGGTTGGCTAAAGAGGAACAGGCAAGTTCCTCGGAAAGCCAGAGAAAACTCTTCAATCCAACAGCAGGGGGGGGGCATTATGAACCGCCATGAAGCTGGGGCATCCAGAATAAGAATTGTGCAGGAGCGAAGATTTGGATGGAGTACTGGTACCGGGTGAGTGATTGGCCAACTCACAGGTATTAAAAGAAAAATTGGAAATTCATAAAGTTACCCTGGCATGGAAACAGCGGCTAAATAGAGCTGGGGGGAGACAATTGACAGAGAAGAGAGAAAGAGGAAGTGAAAAACATTAAAGCCCAAAACGGAATCTGATGCTTAAACTTTAAATGTGGATATCGAATTTGGAGAGTAAATTGAACATAAGAAAAAGAACCTCAAAAGAAAGTATCTTTAACAGGACTGTATAGAAAATTTTGAATTTTAGAGGAAGATTAAAGAATGAGAGAAGATCGTAATAGAAAAGTTTGACCAAAGATTTTAATTAAACTTAAATTGGAATGTAAAGCTGGAATTTGGATTTTATAAATTTGGACTGGACTATAAATTGATTTGGTGTATATAAAGGCAAAAAAGAAGAAGAAGAAAATTAAATTAGTAAAGATCATTAAAGTGGATTGCAAATAAAATGGATAAATTTTTAGACTCTGACTCGGATTGTGGATTGTAGAGAAACATCTTCAGGAGAAACAAGATCATTACAATGGAAATATTAGAAAGAAGGAGAAGGGATGGAAAAAAAGGGGAAATACAGGGCAAAATAGAGGAGCTTATGATTTTAAAACGCAAAATGTTTACACTGGAATTAACAATGGAAAGAAAAGGAAAAGGGGAAAGAAATGGGAAATAATGGGAAATATAGGACAAAACAGGAGAGTTCAGGATTTTAAAGCACAAAAGAAAAGAAAGGGAAAGAAAAAGGAAAAAAAATAAAAACAGAAAGAGAGAAAAGGAAAGAAATGAAAGAGGAATATGTTGTATACATTTAGAATTGAAATATGAATTGAAGTAGGATTTATAGATGAAATAAATGATGGTAAAAATGAAATTGTGAGGTTAATTAAGTAATTTAAAATAATGGAAAATTATATGCAAGTATGAACAATATTAAATAAATTTTCAGAAATATGTTTTATCTAAAATTAGAGAAATTGTAATAATTGGAACACTTTGAATTGCATTGTTGGAGTTTATAAAATGACAAGTTCTAAAAATATGAACAAATTTAATTAAGGAAATTGTAAGAATTGGAAGGTGAAATGATATTGTATTCTGAAATAGATTGTGATGAAAGAAGAAATGATTAAAATGTTTGAAGAGTTTGAATATACATTTTTGACAAAGTATTTGAAAATTAGAGATAAGATTTAAGGATATAAAGAAAAAAACTGTTATATAATTAATTGATTTTTACTAAGATATTGGAATGTATGATTTGGAACAAGACTTAAGGAAATACATGGTATAAAATGTTTTTGATTTATTATCTTGATATGAAGTGAATGGTTGTAATATTAGGAATTATGTTAAATGAGATTTCAAACTCAAGGGGTGTAATATAGAGAAGAAGGAAAAAATGGAATTTGGTTAAGATTAAGAGTTAGGATAATGGGTAATATTGATTTAATTTTAAAAAAAGGAAGAAAAAAAAGAAAGAAAATAGAGGGAATAAATATTATGACAAAAAGGGAATATATAAATTGTGTTGAAATGACTAAAAATTGTTTAAATTTGTAAACCGGCCAATACTCTGTTCAGAAAAAATACATTGTATGTGTATTTGTCTCTGTGTTAAAAAAATAAAAAAAAAACTTTTTTTAAAAAAAGAAGTACCTGCCATTCAAAATAGCCAAGATTATAACTTTACTGAAAATTCCATGTGGGTACAGGAGTGGAAAAGCCAATTCTAACAATTTCGCACACAAACAGCATAGGAAAGCTTCCCCTTTTCCCGATTTGTCCATTTGTCTAACCAATCGCTTACATTCATGTTGTTTTGGTAACAGTCTCTTCGTCTTGGACTTTTGTAGCTGATGACCCTGGGGTACTGGATCTATCTCAGGCTTCAAGCCAACAAACTTGCATTCCTTTGACCTTCCGAATACCTCCACTTGCATTCCAGTGCCTTCCCTTCCCGCCCATTGCTGATGTCTGCTTGTCAGTGGGGTTTGCATAGGGAGCCGACCATGACACTCTGTTTCTTGAACCTTGGACTGTTGTTTTGGACTCTGGACCTCAGACTTTACTTGTGGACTTCGGACTCGCCTTCCTGTCTTTGGAATCTTGGAGTGTGCTTTGACTTTT